GTGTGACTAGATTTATATTGAGGTCTTTGATCAATTTGTACTTAAATTTTGTTCATGGTGATATATATGGACCTATCTGCAATATTCTACATGTCAGCATCCAGTTATTCTAGCACCATTTATTAAAATATTTTCCATTTCATAATTTTAGTTTTTTGTCAAATATTAGATGTCTGTATGTATATGGATTAATGTCAGGGTTTTCAATTATTTCCATTGGTGTATTGCCTGCTGTATAGACCAATACCAAAGCTGGGTTAATTAATATAGCTCTATAGTAGATCTTGAAATTAAGAATGGGGATGCCTCCAGAAGAGCCTTTATTGTACAGGATTGTATTGCCTATCCTGTTTTTGTCTTATAAATTTGAGTATTTTTTCTTTCAAGTCTCTGGAACTTTGATGGGGATTGCATTGAATCTGTAGATTTCTTTTGGTAAGATTAACATTTTTCCCGTATTGATCCTACAAATCAAACAGCTTAAAGATTTTTCCATTTTCTTTGTTCTCTTTTTAAATTTCATTTTTTAAATATTCAATGCTCTTGTCATACAGGAAATTCACTTGTCCGTTTAGACTTACCCTAAGATATTTTATGTTGTTTATGGCTAATCTAAATGTTGATGCTTCTCTGATTTTTTCATCCCATTTTTCAATTATATATAGTAGGACCTCTAATATTCTGTATTTAATCTTCCATCATGCCAAATTGCTAAAGGTGTTTACCTGATGTAGGGATGCCCTGTTGGAACTTTTCTGTTCACTCATGTAAAAAAAATCCTATCATCTGCAAATAATGAAAATTTGACTTCCTCCTTTCTAGTTTGTGACCACTTGTTGTCCTATTCCTCTATTTAGAGCTTCAAGTACAAGATTAAAACGTATGGAGGAGTGTACAACCTTGTCTTGTTCCTGATTTTAAAGGAATCACATTGGGTCTCTCCATTTTTTATGTCAACTGTTGGCTAGCCATACATTTCTTTTATCTAGTTTGATATGTTCCTGTTATCCCTGTTCTCTCCAAGACATTTATAATGAAGGGTGTAGGATTTTGTTGAAGGCTATTTCACCATCTAGTGATACGATCATGTTTTTTTCTTTCTCTGTTCAGTTTCTTCTTACGGTGGATTACTTTGGCAGATAATTGTGTGTTGTGTAATTACTGCATCTCTGGGATGAAAACTTCTTGATCATTTTAGGATGGATTTCATTTGCCTGCATTTTTGAGTATTTTTCATGAATTTTTATGAGGGACTCTGTAGGTTCTCGTTCTTAATCATGTATTTGTGTGTTTTGTGTTCCAAGTTAATTGTAGCTTCCTAAAAACAGGTGGAAATGAACCTTTTACTTCCATTGTGTGGAATAATTTGAGCAATATTGGTATTAGCTCTTCTGTGAATTACTGGCAGAATCATGCATTGAAGGCATCTCGCCATGTCCTTTTTATGTTTGGGACACATTTGATGATGGCTTATTATTCGTTAGGTGCTATAGGTCTTCTTAAAATGCATATCTCTTCTTCATTTAATTTTGGTAAGTGATATCTATCCAAAACTTTTCCATTTTCTTTGAGTTTTCCAATTATGTGGAGTCCAGTTTTTCAAAGTATCCTCTGATTGTCCTATGGATTTTTTAAGTGTTTGTTGTCTTTTCATTTCTGATTTAATTAATTTGCATGCTATATTTGCCTTTTGGTTAGTGTAGGTATGTCTATCTTATAGATTTTCTCAAAGAACAAACTCTTTCTTTCAATGATTCATTGTATTGTTTTCTTTGCTTGTACATTATTAATTTCAACACTCATTTTAATTTTCTGGCATCTACTCCTGGGTGAGTTTGATTATTTTTGTTCCAGAGCTTTAAGTTATGCTGTTAAGTCACTAATGTAGGAGTTCTCCATTTCCTTTATGTATGCACTTGCTGCTATAAACCTTCCTCTTAGTGTTGTTTTTAATGTATCCCATGAGTTTGGTTATGTTGTGGATATATTTTCATTTTGTTCTCAGAAGTTTTAAATTTTTTTCTTTATTTCTTCATTGACTGAGGATGATGCAAACAAACACTGTTCAATTTCAGGATGTAGGCAGTTGTCAATGTGTGTTTTTGTTGAATTGTAACTTTAAACAATGGAGATGTGATGTTATACAGGGTGTTGTTAAAATTTTATTTTATCTGCTAAGGTTTCTTTGTTCCTGACTATATAGTCAATTTTAGAGATGAGAAGGTACATTTTTTTTAATTTGGAGAAATTTTTTGTAGCTGTCTTTTCCTCGCATTTGAGTCAAATCGTCTGTTAGTTCCTTTATTTCTATGTTAAGGTTTTGTCTGGTTGTCTTGTTCAGTAGCAAAATTGGGGTGATAAAATCTTCCACTATTTTTATGTAGGGCTTAATGAGTGACTTAAGTTTCAGTAATGTTTCTTTTACAAATGTGTGAACCATTTTATTTGTGGCACAGATATTCAGAATTGAGACTTAATCTTCATGGATTTTTCCCTGTGTTGAATATGAAATGACTTTCTTCACTTTTGGTTAATTTTTGTTTGAAGTCTATTTTATTAGATATTACAGTAGATACACAAGCTTTTTTCTTAGGTCCATTTTGCTGGATAAACTTTTCTTAGCACTTACTCTGAGGTAATATCTGTCTTTGAAAATGAATTGTCTTTCTTGTATGCATGAGAATGATGGAGTCTCTCTTATACATTCTGTTAGTCTGTGTCCCTTTTCTTTTATAGGAAAGCTGAGACTATTGATGTTAATAGTTTATTTATGACCATTTATTTTTGATTTCTATTATTTTTGTATTTGTTTTTAATGGTGGTAATGTGAACATGTGTGTGTTTCCCTTTTGTGGGGATTTTGACAAAATGGTAATATTTATTACGTATGTATTTGAGACTATAGCTAGCTTCCTTACATAGAGTTTTCTATCCAGTACATACTTTTTGGCTGGATTCGGGTATATGTATTTTTTCAATAAGGATTTGTTATAAATTATCTAATTTTCTCCATCTACAATAACTGAGAACATGGTGGGAGTAGTCTGGGCTGGACTCTCTTTTGTACTCTTCCCTTATGAACATGTATTTAGGACCTCTTGGTGTCAGGAGTAATTGTGATAAGTGTACTCTCATATTTTTTGGCCTTTTTCCATTGAAGCTTTTAGTATTCTTTATTTGCTATGTATATTTTATTTTTTAATATTATTTGTGAGCGAACTATTTAGGTCAAGTCTATTTGGTTTTCTGTAAACTTCTTGTCCTTTCATAGGCATTACCAACTTTGGGTTGGAAAAGGTTTTTTTAAATATTTTTTTATTTATTATGTATACAATCTTCTGCCTGCATGCCAGCAGAGGGCATCGGAGCTCATTCAATGTGATTGCCGGGAATTGAACTCAGGACCTTTGGAAGAACAGTCAGTTCTCTTAACCACTGAGCCATCTCTCCAGCCCGGGAATGTTTTTTCTATGATTTGGTTGAATATGTGTTCTGTGCCTTTGAGCTGGACATCTTCACATTCTTCTATAACTATTATTGTTAAGTTTGGCCTTCCCACAATGTCTTGAATATTTTATGCTAAGAATTTTTGAATTTAGCATTTTCTTTGGTTTTATGCTTGAAGTCTTAAGTATCAGTCTATGATAACTTGAAATTCAAGGGTTACAGATGGGACAGGGAAAAGCCAGAGTATAATCATTACACATAATATTAATCTTCACAAGTATTTTAAATGAAGATACGTATGCCTAGTCATAAGATTACTGCTAGATTTTGGGGTTTTTTTGTTTGTTTGTTTTAGTGTGATCACCATAAAAGCCACTACTTCCTTAATGTGTCACATACTTACATGGCATAATATTGGAGGAAAGTACCAAATAACATATATTATTGAAGAATTTCTATATAAACTTAGTATTATTTGCCTCTCAAAACTTCATTTTTGTACTAACCATCCATTCATCATAAGTGAAGAATGTTATGAAATTTCTGTTTCCCAATCAATAGTATCCTTCGTCTGACAAATCCCTTATCCCTTATCAAATACACCTATTGAATATGAGCAAAATAAATTACCCCATGCCATAGGTTATGTACCATATTACATGTTTAATGTAACATGATGTGATCTGAAATGATATATTCATTATCAATAATGCTGAATTAAAATTCTATAGTTTTGTATTTGTTTTGGGCAGAAACACAAACACACACTCACACACACACACGTATGCCTATATTTATTTGGAAAAATTATATATGTACCAACAACAATTATCAAATTTTGGTTAAATTATTGATGAGGGAATATTGAAACATTTAGAATGAAAGCAATTGGGAAAACCCTGCTGTGAATTGATATAACTATATTTTCATTAAATTTACATTTAAATATAGTTTGTGAATATACCATGTAAACTCTGAGTTCTTATTTTTTTTGAAATTCTAAATTTCAATATACTTTGAAAACCCGAATTTTATAGAGTATGACTTTTACCAATTCATCAATATATTCTTAGGTAGCTAGTGAAACAGAAATCCAATATAATTATCATTGCTCAATGAGGTCCCTTTCCAATTATACATGTTATAAAATACAATTAAATGAAACTGCATTCTTAAAGTTAATCATGTTTGAACATTTAATTCCTTATGGCCATATTTGTTCATGATCATTTTATTGTTTTCTTTTTAATAATCACTCTTTTTGAATGACAATCTGTTAGCGTGCATTAATAATAATTAATTATAGGAAGTCTGTATGTGATTTTTTCATTTCTAACATTTTATAATTCATGTGTTTTGAAGGTTGTTATTGACCTAAATAAATAATACAATTTCAATGTAAATAGAACATTTTATTGTGATTCATCTTTTTGCTACAGTTCACATCGGTGTCCCTTTATGTATAAGTTTGTACATTATTCTTCCCAAAATTCCAGACATTCAGACATTATTTGCTTTCCTTTATTCCAGCTCTCTATTATTATCCATTTCAGGATTTGTTCCCAAAAGTGTCAACAGAGCATACTTGTCCAAGAAAAATATTAGGATATTTAGGAAGAAACAATGCTGAGAAATTACATAAAAGGAAGTTCTCTGCATGCAGATATGTCAATGAAGAGCCTCAATCGTATTTTGCTGGAAATACAAGAAAAGATTTCAAGTGCACAAAATGTTGCAATTCTTTTGCCCATAGGTTTTCTTGTCAGGTTCATCAGAAAACCCAAACTGGAGAAGAAAAGACTTTCATGTGTGAAGCATGTGTCAAGTCTTTTACTCAGAGTTCATTACTTCATGCTCATCACAGGATACTTAATGGAGAGAAACCTTACAAATGTTATATGTGTAGAAAGTTATTTACTGCAAACTCAAATCTTCAAATTCATCAAAGAACAAAAACTGGAGAGAAACCTTATAAATGTAGTATGTGTGGCAAGTCCTTTATTAAAGGCTCAAACCTTCAACAACATCAAAGAATACATACTGGAGAGAAACCTTACAAATGCTCAGATTGTGACAAGTCCTTTAAACAGAGATCAGCCCTTCAAGTTCATCAAAGAATACATACTGGAGAGAAACCTTACAAATGCTCAGATTGTGACAAGTCCTTTAAACAGAGATCAGCCCTTCAAGTTCATCAAAGAATACATACTGGAGAGAAACCTTATGAGTGTAAAGAATGTGGAAATTCCTTTAAAAAGAGATCAGTACTTCAAGTTCATCAAAGAATACATACTGGAGAGAGACCTTATAGCTGTAATGTATGTGCCAAATCCTTTACCACAGGATCATATCTTCATATTCATCAAAGAATACACACTGGAGAGAAACCGTACAAATGTAGTATGTGTGGCAAGTCCTTTAATGGAGGCTCAAAACTTCAAGTTCATCAAAGAATACATACTGGAGAGAAACCTTACAAATGCACAGATTGTGACAAGTCCTTTAAACAGAGATCAACATTTAAAGTTCATCAAAGAATACATACTGGAGAGAAACCTTACAAATGCACAGATTGTGAAAAGTCCTTTAATCGGAGGTCAG